TTCACAGAGTAAGAAAGGTAACCTTGCATTGCCTGAATTTAAAACTTCCCCTTTCCCCTCAAAAAATATGTATTTTAATATATTTCCTGTGCATAAGTTCCATCTTTTCCTAGACTGGGCTGATACAAAGAAAGATTTTCTTCCATTTTGAATTTATTTAAGGAGAGTCTCATGAACAAAACAAAACTTTGCAAATAATTAAAGTTATATCTTTTGTTGCTTTTGATTCCAAGATTCATTAACTGAAAAGTATCCAACAAAACCACATAAAGACAGACAAGAAAATGAGTACATATCACCATTCTAGCATGGAATAAGCAGTTAGAAATTTCTAAATGATTGACATAATTCTGCTGTCCTCTTCAGTGAAATAAAAAAAAAAAAAAAAAGGAAAGGAGACTGAAGTTCTGAGAGATTCTCTAGAGCTGAGTTAGAAAAATTGGTGCACACTGTGCCTTTGTGTGAAAAGCATCTCTGCCAGATGAATCAGGTCAATAACTGAATTTCTCTGTTCCTGTGATGAGACAAAAGTGACATGTGTGGGATTTTCTTTGTAAGACTTGTGGACAGCATGAAATTCTATAACCAAAAAGTATGAGATCCAGATGATTAAAAATAATGCAGAGATACTTTATCTAAGACTGTACTCATCTTCCTAACATTTTATACCTTTCAATTCCTTGTGAACTTATACTTTGATTTTCATAACAGATTTCAACTGACTTTGACACCCAGATAATTTCTTCACATGAAGGAAATTTTATGCCTAGCAAAAGCAGTAGTTGGTACTTAAAGAATCTAAGTGATGCTCTAATACAAAAAATCATTAATGTTGGGTCTGATGAATTATTACAATACATAGGTAAGCCAACAGAAAAGGTAATTGGTTAAAATAATTTCTCATGTTTTTTTTTAAATAATGTCTCATGTTTTTAACTTCAATTTAGAATGGCTGTGCCCTTTGCACATTCTGAAAATGTAGTGAACTATACTTGAGAAAACCCTGTGAGACTTAGGACCAAACCCAGAAGAAAAATAACATGGTATCCATTCGATATCTGCAAGAATTGGATTCTCAGGTTTTTAGACTTCCATCATTATGGCCTGAGAGGAAACAGCCCTATACCTTTTGCTGAAAGTTTGTCTCTGAAAGTAATGCCCAGTCACCCAGGATGTCTGACAGGAGGGTGACAAGCTGCCACATGAAACATCTTGTAAGCATGCCAGTTTGATAGACATTTCCAGGAGAATGAATTCCAAGAGAGCCAACTGAAAGATGAAAATGCGAATATCCAGATCTCTTGCATGGTACAGGCAAGAGAACTACATTACTGAAAACCACCAGAACAAGGGAAGACCTTATCACCCCAAGTGAAAGAAAGTAAGAACTTTACTTTTCAGCACCATTATGTAAACCGGATGTTTTTAAGCCCTGATTTCCTCTAGATAATCATGGAACAGCTGTTGCTAAACAAGGTGTCTCATTATAGAAACTGTTTTTAAAAAATTGTACTAATTATATTTAAGATACAGCCCAGAAGTCAAGGTTTGTGTTTTAACACTTGAAACCAAGCAAACTGGAATCTGATTACATTAAGTATCATAGGAGTGACCTATTCAAGCTACATTGCTCTGATTAAACAGCAGATATGCTCAAAGTAGGGAATTTCTCATGAAGGTTTCAGGACTCAAAAAACTATTTCTGATTTTGGCTGATAGGAATCTAGAGTAATTCATCTTTGTGGCACATTGCAAATTTCACCTCCATTGAAAATCTTTGGTAAACCTTTACAGTTAGTTTTACAGGAACCCTGGGAGACATTACATCCTCAAAAGATGTTCAAATCCTTTCCTTTGCCTTCTGGAAATGAACACACAGAACTGAAAACTAAGACATTTCAGATGATCATGTCACAAAGTCAGCACATTGTCAGCAAATGAGAAAAACCTCAAGAATATGAAAGCCCTTGCACACCAAACTTAACATCTCAGAGCAGACCAGAAGTAGATTTTCAAAGGTGTTAATAGTTTCAGGAAGGAGAAAACTCATCTTCCCATTAATGCTTAATGCTTATTTTTTCAAATACAAAGAAAAACAATAAAGGTTGATCTAGAGAACACATTCAGGGATAAATTATGATGCTAGTGTTTCAGTCAAGAAGCAATAGGGAAATTCTGTGAAATAACAGAGATACAGTCAAAGGCAAATTTGTTCTTGCAAATAGAATTTTTTTTCTTGTAAATAGAAAAGAAATAGAGACATTTGCAAAGATATTTTGAACAAATTTATTCAGGTGAAGCTCAGTAAAATAAAAGCTACCAAAACATTCAATATAGAATACTTATTGTAGTAATTGTAAGAAAAAAAAAAAAAAACTTTTTATGTACATTTTTAGGATGCTCTTAACAGGGTTTTTTATTCTTTTGGTCAGTACTCTAGTGTGACTCTGATCAGACATCTCTCACACTGAAAGAGGATGTAAATTATCTTGATTTTGCCTTTTTAATATCTATAAGAGGATCTCATGTTTGCCCCATCCTCCATGATTTAACATAACCTGATGCTTTTTACAGGACTGCATACTCTATACCACTTCATAATTTATTACCTGTATAAAAACTCAAAATACAGCAAAAGGAAACAAAATAAAGGACATGTGAAAAAAATCCAACAGTTTGTTACAACCTAATTCTTCTGAAATATATAAAAATTCAATTTTCAGAAATGTGTTTTTTATTATTTGAGCAAATTGTAGTTCACTTGCATAAAATATCTTGAAACAAAAAAAATTATAAAAATTAGTGGTGTGACAGTCATTAGCTTAGTAAGCAAAAGACAGCATATTCAATAAGTGGAATGAAAGTCAGGTTTCAGAGATATGTTCTGTATTACAAATATTACAAATGAGCTGTATGAGAAACTATAAAACTAGTACAATAGCAACAGTGAGGGTTAAGTCAAGTTTATGAAGAGCTTTGCAATCTAAGTATAGCTTAGGTTAGTAAAGGAAAAAAAAAACCTCTAAAACCCAAAATATTCTTATGGTTACAATCAGAATTGCAACCATGCTAGCTGATGCAATGTTAAGCCATAAACACATACACACACAACTCCACCCATAAAAAATCCACCCTAATTATTGGTTTATGAACAAGAAAATTCAGATTAAAATTATTTATAATATTGAGGTAATATTTCTAATACCTACTACAGAAACAGCGCACAGAAACACAGGAACCATAGTTTTATTAAGAGATATTTTTCCAAAAAAAATTCTTTTCATAATGGCTAATTAAGATTAAATCAAAAAACAGCTAAAACAATCTCCTAAATCTAAAGACCTGTCTATGAAAAAAGAAAAAAAGGATACCCAATGCATGCTTTTCATTTTGACTGTGGAAAAACAAAGGCCAAAAGGACATAAAAGAGCACAAGTTTCAGTTACTCAGCCAAATGCCGTATGGTGAAGATAAAATGCTTTGTTTAGTCAGGTTTTTTGAGTTTGCTTATACAAACTTCAGATACTTCAGATCTGTTTTATACTTTCAACATGCTAAAGTTCAAAAGGCTTGCACCAAAAGGTCGCATCACAGCAACACAGCAGAGTGTAAATACAAAAAATTGTGTAATGTTTGGTTACACTGGGTCATGAGAGCTGGTTCTAGAAAACACACCCATACTGCTACACCAGTAGCAGTGGAGACAAGAATACTGCAGGACTAAACTCATTCTTGCAGAAGGAGCCACAGCACCTCCCCACTGGTCTGAGACAATCTGCCATTTGCTGAAGCTAATTCATAACAAGACCGTGGATTATGCAGTACAAGTATTGGGAAAAGTCTCCTAGATTAAGTAGACTTTGTCATTACAAACCCAGCTCATTTTGGTTTTAGATCTGAGGAGGTCTGGCTATGACTAGCTAGTGAGAGAGTTCTGCATAATACTGGAAAATTTTTGCTTTGGATTTTATAGTCACTAGCAGACAGTCTTTCAGTTATGATCACCATGATCTTCACCACTGGGAAGACTATACACTAAATTTCCCTCACTTTCTCTAAAAATAAAGGAGAGGGTAAAGAAACTCAGCAGTACTTGGGTGCAGTTCTCCCAGGTAAATGCTGGAAACTTCCCCTCTCAAGGGCTTAAAGGACTCTGGAAATAAATTAAGGAATACAGGCTCTGCCTAGCTAGATGCAAACATGACTACTTGATAAGAAATGCCAAAAATTATGAAAAAAAATAATCAATTTTTTAAATACATGCTTAAGTCTCCATAAATTAATAACCTCCATCTAAGAACACAAAATGAACAGGTAGAAAAGAACAAAGTTTTTGTTTGCTAGAAGAGTTTACCATGCTGGTCAAAAGTAAGACAAAACTTGCAGTGAGATTTTTTTTTTCCCCTGTGTTTGTTTATATGATGAAGGTCATGTTATTTTAAGGAATGTCAACCCTTCATTAGATGTAGCAGAGTATGAATTCTGCTGAGGAAATCTGAGTTCTGGTTAATTCCTTTTGTCAACCTGTTATCTCACTGAGGCAGTGATTTGTAGCAACATCAGTAGAAAATTACAAAGATGTAGCACTGCCAGATTATCTTGGCCATTTAGACTGCTCTTGAAGTCTCACAAGATAAAACCACCAAAATTCAGAGGGAAAAGATTGAAAGATCTCCATTTATAACTGGTATGGAATGGAAGTCAGGTGGCCCTAAAAAAAAAGGTTTCTCTGTTAGGTGAAAACCAGTCAAGTCATCATTCTAGCTTTAAAGTCGTCCAGTTTCAGCAAACACCTTTGATCTATTTCAGTGTTCTGTTACTAATCTACTGCTGATGAAGAAATATGCAAAAATGCAGAGATGACAATGAACAACAGAACCTTGGCATACCTCAACACAGACACATTACAGACTACAGGTCATGGGAAAAGTCAGTTCTCAATCTCATAATACATAAAATAATTAATTCCAAGGGGAAAAAACCTAATGTTTTCTGCTTACCTGATATGGAACAATACTCCCATGAGCAGTACCCCAGCGTTTTGCTTCAATTTTGCAATTAAGGTAATTAGCTGCTACATGAGTGAGACATGCAACCTGAAAATGGAAAAAAAGTATAGTATTCAGGAAAGCTGAAATTTCATTGACAGCTTCTCTGAGATTTCCTTCTATGTGCTTTAGATACATAAGTTAACATATTTATATCACAAAAGCTTCCTTTAGATGTTATACATTTTGTACACTTTTTTACTATGAGAAAAACTCAAGCTACAGCTATATCACAGAAGTGCTTAATTACAACTCAACAAACTCAAAAATTAATATGTTCCCTGTAACATCAGCAATGTTGGACATATGTAGCATTTAACCAACCTGAGACATAAAAGATTGTTACCCTAAATATTTTACAGAATGGTCAGCTGCAGCAGTGTCTTGTCCAAAGTCTAGTGGGAAGCATGATGGCTTTGTGGGATAGAACTCACCATTTCCTGAGCCTCAATCCCATGCTTAAATCACAAAGATTTTCCCCTCAGTCACAAGATTATCTTTTAGTTTTCTCCTATGCTTCTCATTTTACATGTCCAAGCTATGGAAAATATTTCTGAATTCTTCAGCTCCCCCACATGTTCTGTAATATTAATTAAGTCCTGAGCCTTGATAAATCATCTGTCATTAGAAGATAAGGAGAGATTTAGCAAGTTATTAGTCAGACAGAACTGGAAAAGTATTAACTTTTGGGAAAATACAGCATGCTAACTTAGGAACCAGGATGTGAGAGTTTTAATATATATAAGTATGATTACATCTTAGGGAAAAGAAATGAACATTTGTGATGCAGTAATGCATGAAAATCAATGGCTCTGTTATAACCCATAGCAGATTCTTTATTCTTAATTCTTTGAGGGAACACAGTGTGTGATAATATCTGAAGCCATGGAAAACAACAACAAATCATTACAGTTACCATGGAAGGTTATCCCTAATTCTTCAGGCACAATGCATTTGTTTTATTCTGTTAACTAGCTGCACCAGTAAGTGCAAGTGCTTGCCTAAACAGTAGACCACATGAACAATTGTTTCCAAAAATATTATTTTCTCCATATTTCTCCCATTAGATGGAAGAAATTTGCTTTGATGATCTAAGTATTTATACTATTTTTTACCTACTAGTCAGTCTAGTCTACAACAAAACTTGCAATTAATTCAGAGTCCACCATTCATATTCCAATATGTGAATTATATAAGAATTCCCAGGAAACAAAAGCCATTTAATTTTCTTCTTCTTTCTCCATATATTCTGAAAAGACAATGTGAATATGTCACTGTCACATTTAAAGAAAATATTTAACTGTAAATCATGCATGCAGTGATTTAGTACAGCAGAAAACCTAAGTATACAGCAAATAAGAGTCCAGCTACTGACAAAAGTTGTATTTGTATATACTAACTAGAAATACAAGTCCCTATTCCTGAGTACTGTTGGAAAACATTTTGCAGCTGGATTACAGGTCCAGCTTTTTATACCCCAGTGTCACTTCATTTGGCTAAAATATTGAACCATGTCTGTCCTTTGATCCTTAGGAAAATCTCAGCAGTTAAGGAAATTAACTGCAAGTATCTAGAAATATTTTTTTTGTTCCTAATTTGCAACTTTCCTCAGTAATATAGAATGAAACACACTGTGATTATATAGAGTTCACGAGTTACAAGAGTGTGTCATTCAGTAACACATAGCCTTGACCTATCACTTCTGTAATTTTTCAGTTTGGGGTCACACTCCATAGTGATAATTTGTCTGCCACAGCAAATGGCTCTGCAGTGATGATGAAATATTATTCATTATATATTCTTCTGTATTTGTATGCAATACTACACAGCTGACACATTACACACAAATTTCACTGACAGGTAAGATTCATCCATTACAACTGGTTTTGAATTCTAAAGACCAAGAGTATGCATTTAACTTTCCACATTTTCCATATAGGAAATGCTAATTTAACTTAACTCTTAACAAACTTAACTCTGGGAAGGACACAGTGAATTAAAACCTAGTGAAACAGAAATCCCAAAATATTGATATTGAATGTAATTGAGCCAAGATCTCATGCTATCCATTAGTTTCTACATTCTATGCTATAGAATTAGGGACTGGAGTTTGAGAAACAAAATTCTTCACAAAAAAAAAACTTTTATCCCTAAAAATATATCTTCTTAACATAGTGTTGCAAATGGCTTCAGCTTCCTTGATGAATGTAATATTTTCAGTAATGGAAAAAAAACACACATCTAGATTTCTCCAAAGCACTTGTTCACAGTACACTAAGAAAAATGGGATTAAAACATAATGCTCACTGGATATTGACATTTCACCACTAAAGTATTTGCATCACACTTGTTTCAATAGCAAGAGACCGAAAATGCCAGGGAAGTCAGAGCTTAGTAAAGATGGCAATGCTGGAACTAACAGTTGCTCAGACTATATCAAGGTCTCAATTCCACTTGCTACTTAGTGTGAAGAAGCTTATTATTGCTTTTCCAATAAATAATGAAGGAAAAAAAGCTTTCGGCTTCCTCTCACTTCCATCTCTGATTTGGGTACCTGATTCATAGTCAAATTACCCAGACAAAGTACCTGTAGCATCATCACCTACTAGACCGCAATAAAGTGAATATATTGGTGTTTTGTGTTTTACGTAAAAATACACCATTGAGTGAACACTGTGGCCTTTTGCTACATTCATAATAACTCTCTGATGAGTTCAGCAAACTGAGATGATTCTATTTCTATGGTCCCATGAAACTTGCCCAAGACTACCATGTCTTTCCCTTTTTCTCTCTTCCTGGCTCAGTTCACTCTCTTTGGTCTCTCCAAAGGTTTAGTCCCACTAAAAAGGCACTGAAAAACAACCTTTCAGCATATATAATTTATGTCATTAATAACACGAAGAATTGATCTACCTACATCTTACAGCTGTTAAGCAAACTGCTGAACTATAAGCAAAAAAAAAGATATCCCAAATGAACACTTTTATAGACATTGTATCCTTTAGAAAAAAATGTTTGTAACAATATAAGTCTACTTTTTCAAATTCTCCTGTAATTCAAGACTCAGGACCTCACTGCTAGAGACACTTCTTGTGGTAAAAACATCTATAATACAATCAATCTCTCAAACTGGAGTTTGGGTTCATCTGTATGACATATTCAGCTAAGTATTTTTAAAATCTATACTTAAAACTGCTTTCCTGAAACCTTATAGACCCATTTCTTTTCTCCTTTAATTAAGAAATAATCCTTAAAAGTAACCTTTGAACTTACAACATTAAAGCAGATGTATTACAATGATACAGAGATCTCTGTATTCATTTGCTTGTAAGGACACATCTATGCACTGTAACTATGCATTATCAAATATCTACAGATAAGTATTTCTTTATTTCACATCAGTAAAGGGAACACATATTTCAACATTCCATTCTAATATTACTGTTGATGGCCAAATCCCATATTTGTGTTACAGACTTACTTAAATCAGAACAAAAAGAGAGCTGCATTAACGTCTGAAAACTTATGCTCAGATTATGATAGAATCAGACAGATGGGAAACAAGATATTAAAAGCCACAAGGTCAGCAGACAAAGAAAAGAGACAGAATTTCAAAAGATTTTTTTTCAAGATAGCACATCAAACATAATTTATTACAATGAGTCCGCTGAGTCAATCAATCATTTACATGCAATTTCAAGTGTATATGAATAACAAAAGAAGACAGGTAACTGGAAAGAGAAAAACATTTTAATTATATTCTTTACTTTCTTCTCCCTCCAATTTTATGTCTGCTGTCCTGCCACGTATCTTAACAATGCTTTGACTGTAAGCCAAGTTAATTTATTTCTGTCTCATTTTGCTTGCTTTTTCTTAAAGCGAGCATGTAGACTTATGAATTTTGGGACTCAAACATTTTACACTGGCATAGGTGACTTATTTTATGCTATCCTACAGAAGTAGCAACACGATTATTCATTTACAGCTTTGTAGGAAAAAAGTCATTCTAGAATATTGCATTGCCTTCTGTTGTGTAAAGGCCAATAATCTTCCTTTTACACCTTTTCCATACTCCTGGTGACATATTAAAAAAATATTTACATGAGAAAAAAGTGAACATAAGACCACAATCCACATTTGGTGCACACTGATCCTATGCTAGTATTTACCTAACGACTGATTTTACTGGTTTATATTTTCCGTAAGTATTTTGACACTGATAATGTTTAAGTTTGACTAATTTTGCTTTTGCGGTTAGTCCCTATCGTCCTTATGGAAGCAGCTTCCATGTACATGTGCATCAAGTGACTCTCAGCTCTTTGAGTCATTTCTACATTATCCAAAAACCCAAAAACCCACATGAAAAACCAAAACCTCTATAACTACCAGGAAACCCCCACTCTTACAGCTAATTATGCAATTCCTAAGCATTGACCCAACTGTTTCAGGATGTGGCACTATACCACAATGAACGGCGGTGTTGTATCAGTTTTTAGACGGAGAATTGTGTTTCAAACTCCTGCAAGAATGAACTGGGCAGCAGAAACCACAGCCTTGTGCAGAGGCAAGAGAACTGCCACAGTTCAAGGCAGCCCATCATGCAGGGGTCCAGCAGTAAACCACAGCATTCCAAGTGCTGTCAACAAACATCACCTTACGTTTGGGCTTGTAAGGGCCACCCATCAAGTCTGAAACTGAGAGATCTGCAGGAGGTAAAAATCAGTTCAGAGTGGTATACACCTATAGGTAGGGCAGAGTTCCCACTTACAAATACACAGCAAAGACACTGCCCACAAAGGAGCAAGATTATACTGCTTCATCTGTGGTGTCCCTGCATCAAGGCAGCAGGTCTGGCCTGCAAAAGTTAACTGGAAAAAGTAAAACTACTATCATGCAGGCCAAGGCTTAATACTATTACAGAGAATTTTAGAAGAATGTCTGTGGTCATGTTAGAACACTGTGCTCTGAGTAAAAAGTGTTTTCTACTCAGTGACACCGATTTCTCTTATTGCAAAACGCCAGGAAATTGTCATGAATTCAGCCTTCAC